CAGAGCTGGTTAATCTCACCTAGTCTGGAGACTCTTGATACGACATAGCATATCCAGGTGACCAGCAGAGTATTGCTCGATCACATCTTTCACATCATACGGTCGAAGCGTCTCCTTAAACTTCTTCTTGGCCACATGGAATTTCATTATCCTGTCAACAGTGAAACAAGAAACAAAACTCAACTAACTTTTGTTTAGAAATTATGTACCACCATACTGACACACAGGCATATGTAGTAAAGGTAAGGAAAAATAGTGCTATTTTTTTTCTTATTTCCAGTTTAAATATATTTAAAGCAGCACTATGTAACTTTTGGCGCTCTAGCGGTTAATAAACAGACTGCACACATCCCGCGGAAGAACATTCCAACCGGAGCTACTTCTCTAAGTTTATGTCTACGGCGATTCACGCTGGAATGTGTTACTCCGCAGCGGCGACGACCCGTCCAAATATAAGTACTTATTATAAGTGTACCGTAGTGATTCGGAATAAGACAAACACGCGGTTTGGAAGATGAATTCATGATGTACTCGCTCATTATATACATTTTGCAAATTTTGAACACAGAAAAGTTACATAGTGCTTCTTTAAGACATGTAAAAATAAATAAGTAACAAGACATGTTTTCAATAAATGCATCTTGAATTAAGTTTATATTTCTTACTCTATTGGAAAATAGTTTTTTTTTAATATGAACAATTTGAATTGTTTCAACCACGAACTTCATTAAATATTGTTAGCTTTATGCTTAATACAAGAACATTGGCTACAAATTCCCCATGAGGTAAGCAGAATTAAATAAAAAAAATAAAATAGTTCTAGTTACATTTGAAGATACATCTATAAACATTATATTGTGCATATATGGACTCAACTCAGCATAAAGCAACCCTCTTTGGAACTCACAAATAAACAAGCATGCAAGTTGTGTAAGCTTGCTTATAACCACTAGAGGGCAAAAATGAGTCACAAATACCATAACAGTTTATAATCCAGAGGAAAAATATGATCATATACCTCTGCTTTAAAAACACAGTTTATAATAATATTACTTAAGTAAGGCTCATGTTCTAGTAAAGATATGTGTAATAGATGACATTTGCTGTGAAAACACAGGTATTACCACAGGCACACTGAAACCTAAACCTATTCTATGCAAATATTGACACAGAGGGGAGCAGATTTCAGTGATCTGTTTCTGTAACGTCTTGCAGATTCAAGCCCCTGTGAGCAGAACTGGCTGGGAACATGTCTATCTGACACCCTGGGAAAGAGGAGTGGGGAAAATCTCAGCCCTCCTACATGGATACTCTAATAGTTTGGAGTGATGGAAGTGAAAAAGTCACCTGAAGCAACATCAGTGGCCTCTCCCAGCACGAGAGAGACAGCAGTGATGATCTAACCCTAATATCTCAATCAATGGGGCAGGAAGGTCAAAATGAATGTTTTCAACCCTGCAACCACAGTGTGAATTCTTCAAACTTTCACTAGGGGAAAACAAGGCTCTCTGGGAAGTCACACTCACCTGATGGCCCTGATCACTGCTTTTAGTGGGGCAGAGAGATCTTCCACAGTCACATCACAATGGCAACGCTTCTCATCAAAAGCATCATCCGGTCCAAGATTTGTGTCAGCTGTGAGAGAAAGGGAGAGAATCTGAATAACAGCAAGCAAAAACCTTTTTACAAGGGATCCTCAATAAGGCTGAAAACAAAACTAGGCTGAAAAGTAGAGAAAGCCCAGGGCAGATCAATACAGCTATGAATCAAAACAGCATTCAAAGCAAATCTTTCTCTTGACCCCCATCACAGTGACCACAGGCCACTCCACTGAGCTTTACAGCATAAATACTGAGAGGAAGTACTGCTGTACTGATGCAACACATTAAGCTGAAAGGCAACAAAATTACTTTTCATTCCCCCAAAATAAAATAAATAAATATGATAAAAATCTAATATTTAAACAAAATAAGAAGAAAAGAATACATCTTCATTTTGAGTGTCGGTTTTGAAAGTTTTGCTAAAGATTTACTAAACTATTTCCCTGGGTTTTAATTTCCCATGGGCCCATGGGTTTTGTCAATCCTTTGTGACTAATGTACAGGATTCTGTCAATACTGAAAATCCTCCTATAAACAATGTATCTATCTCCACTTTGTGATCTTCTTCCCTGAGGGGCATTCTGGTGATGGGAGCATGAGCCAAGGTCAACTAGTGCAAACAGAGGGTCCCATGGGAGACCATGTTCTCCCACTGCAGCCCAATAGTGTTTGTAAATTCTGCCTTCAGGGACCAAAAGTCCAAAAAAACAGTACGGTATATAGCGAAAGACTCATTCAGGGTCAAATGATTTCAAGACTAGCAGATACCACAGCAAACATGACCTATAATTGTTTTTAAGATTAAAGGGTTAGTTCACCCAAAAATGAAAATTAGCCCATAAATTTGCATGCGCAAAGCTGACCTCATACATTAATATGTCCTCATATTAATATAACTCCGACTGGATTCGTCTGAAAGAAGAAAGTCATATACACCTAGGATGACTTGAGGGTGAGTAATTTATGGGCTAATTTTCATTTTTGGGTGAACTAACCCTTTAAGTCATTATTTGTGAAGTAAATAAAACCACAGGTCTGATTCTCAGCTAATGAGAACTTTCCTAAATCTGCTTCTACCATTACAGTAGACGTGGAACAACAGCAGCCAAATAAAAAAAGCTGTTCACCTTCAGCTGTTGTGCGTGACTGGCTCTTGAGCTTGAGGGATGGCCGGAAGCGTGTTCGGTCATTGAAGCTCCAGCTCTTCTGGACCTTGGCAGGGCTGCTGCCCTCCACCCCCACCTCTGTGGCAGGAGAGCGTCGGTCATTCACCGACATCTGCCTGCTCTTCATGCTCTGACCACGAGGACTGGCCATGCGCACACGTTCCCGGAAACTTAACTTTTGGCTGAAGAGGGATGGAAGAGGATGGGAGGTGGGAAGGGACAAATAAACAGACAAATAATTAAACATGGAATGGAGATAAATATGTATTTAACTAAAGTTTGGTTTAATAAAAAACTGTTGTGATGGCTTATTTTGGACCTGCAAGTTTCCTTTCTTCAGTCTCTACTAAATTCCTCCAGTAAAACAACAAATTTTTTTGTTGTCATGATTTGGACCCACAACTTACTTGGAAGTTCTTTGGTCGAAGCCCCAAAAACTGTCCTATACTTTTCTCAAAAGTTGCATCAAAAGACCATGCAGCACAAACCTCATTCCAAGGTTTCCACCAAATCAGCAAGCAACATTTTGAAGCATGACTCTCTTACCACCCTACTTCTATTGCTACCTTCAGTGTGGAGCAGCCTGACAACATTTCCATACCTTTCTAGCCCTGACGTAGAGGCCCAGAATATATAAAATAAGCAGTTTATGAGCAGAACAGTTCTATACAAATTCCTTCAAAGACGAAAATTCCATAAGCTGGGGTTCTTAATTCATGCTGGATGTATACATAGTCCACTGTGCTTTGAGCTCATGCTTGGTAGTTTGTATGTGAAAGAGATGTAGTGTAAAAGGAGAGTGAAGACATAATGCTATAAAGGTGACTTACAAGAATATAGAGCCAAAGTTCATGCACATGCAACATCCCGGTTAAGACTAATGTGTTAATGCAAACGGAGACAAATACAGTACAGTCATAGACATCCTTCATAACTGAATTGAACCTTTACAACCACTCGATCGGATTATTCCTGCAGGTATTACAATATGGGATGTTGGAAAACTGCTGGTTTGATGTTTAGAAGCTTTGCATTATTTTGTTATTAGCACAAATTAGACATTGTATCATATTGGTAATAACATTGTGGAGTAATTGCTGCATGTCAGATAGGGGTATTGGATAGATGAGTTAGTGGCAGTTATATCTTTCAGGCAACAGGCAATAGGACCCTCATATTAGACCTTCTGTAGGGTCTGTAAGGTTATCTGAGGTGGACGCCATCATCCATGCATACGGTTAGTCAGCATTCACATTGGTCATATTGCTGGAGCAGTGGGGGATGCTGGGTACCTATATTTCCGTGTGGTATACCTCCTGAAGAGCCTCTGTCTATTACTATGACCCTTACTAAGGAAATGAGGAAGACAGATGGCAGGTGAGTTAGTTAGACTGTGAGCAGAAACAACCTCCTTACGTGTAAGAATTATTTGCATGGAATAACATTGAAATAGAGACACTACTTGGGTGTAAAAATGGAGCAAAATGCAAAATAAATGGGCATGTTTTTCCAACCAAACATGGTAATATACAGTTTAATTAGCATTGCACCAAGCACATCCACACTAGAAGTATATTCAAATAAACAGTGTACAAAACTTGTCTGACAACCAATAAACTTTCTTGGATTTGCTGGTTAATTATAACTTATTTTCTGTAAATATTCCTTTCACTCTCTCACCATTACAAAATGAATTATGCGGATTATACCTAATGTTTTCTTAAAGACTAAAGACTTAATGTTCATCCATTTAAAAGGTTTCACAAGCGACGCAAAAAGTGTTCACAGCTTAGCTGCTTGCTGTAATGCCTTTGCAATTTGAAGGTTAATTTTCCATCACATTTAATGGCACATTTGCCACACACTGAGGGGCTTTTCCAACTGTAAATTACTTCATTTAAGTCTGCGTGCTAGTGCTCTGCTCTTCACATATTTAATACGAACCATGCAAACATCCAATTCCAGCACTAATTAAAAGCATGAGGATTCAAATAAGAAAAAAGCTTTGGGTGCAACCATTATTTACAAGGACTGAGCAGCAAGCTCCACCCCTGCTGAAATCACATGGAAGTTAAAACACATAACATTACCAGCCTGACAGCAAACACTACAAACATGTACAAACATGCAGAGTCCTAAATGTCAACAGCTAAGTCTGGAACCAAGTCACTATTTCTCACTGCTATTACTTACTGGACCTATTGATGAAAGGCATTTAGAAGATGGTGGGGGTTGTTATCACGGAAAAAGTTGAAGAACAAAAATGTAAAAAACACCGTAATGCATTTATGCTGTGTTCTTTGCTTTTTCCTGGCTGTAGTAATATTTAACGGTCAAAATAAACAATCTCTGAATGGAAAAAGTGCATCAAGTTTCTGTCCATGTAGGCAGACAGAAAAAAAGTGGGCCAAAGTACTCGTCTATAATATTACAGAAGGAGCTCTGCGAGTGCAAAAACACACACACAGATACGCACACACTTTGGTACAGATGAACACTTGTTCTTAGCAAGTTAGCAAAGTGAAGCTGCTCCACAGCTAAACTACTATTCTATGACTTTTACTAAATGGCTCTCTGAAATATTTGATTCTATCTAAACACTTGTGGCCAATGCAGTGGTGAAACTAAACCACTAAACTGTACATTTGTCTATTGTCCAAAACAAAATACTGGTGCTACTTTCATGTCTCAGGCATCACTCTGTGCTTTCTCTCTAGAATAGCTAGTATATTTATATAAATTTACATTTCTATATTAATATGAATTAATGAATATAAATATATATTTCAATATGTTTGTCAAATCATTCATATAATTGTATATTATATAAAGAATATAATTAACGATAATAATATCTGGATAAAATCACAGTACTATTCAACATATTTTTAAATGTTTTTAAAAGAAGACTCTTATGATGGCTGCATTTATTTGATAAAAATACAGTAAAAACAGTAATACTGTGAAACATTATTACGATAAAAAAACTATTTTAATATATTTTAAAATGAATTTTATTCCTGTGAATGTTCCGCAGCCAGTCTTGATTGTCACATGATCCTTCAGAAATAATTCTTAAATGCTGATTCATATTATATATATCACATATTATATTCATATTATTTAGCATCACACTTGAAAACGGTTGTGCTTCTTAAAATTTTCTGTGAAACTCATTTTTTCAGGATTCTTCGATGAACAGAAAGTTACAAAAGAACAGCCTTTATCTGAAATGTAAAAAAAATTAAATATTTAAATGTCTTTACTGTAACTTTTAATTGTAATATAAAAGTAAATTTGAATTTAACTTTTACATTTAATACATCCTTGCTGAATACAAATATTTAACAAAATCTAAATGATTATAATGTACAAGTAATATAATAAAACACATAAATTCAAATCAATATTTCATATCCATGTATTTAACAGTTTTGGGTAGCCTTGTTATAAGAGACAGTATAGTTAGCTATCTTGGTTTAATCTGTGATAATGAGCGGATGACTGTACATTCCATACATACTATAGCTACTACAAATAAATGAAAAAAAAAAAAGAGTGGGGATGAATGACAAAGCAAGACATGTAACATGCCATGACTGAATGTGCTTAATTCTTCTCCCTATTTTTATTGATGCCATGGAAGCTAAAACACAATCGATACTTAAAAAAGTAAAAGATTCCGGACACTACGTGGATGTAGATACGAGAACAACAAACCTGCTGATGGATTCCCCCTGGTCTTTCCTTCAGGTGTTAGTTAAAGACATAGAGAGAAAAGAGGCAGGATATTAACACTTCACATGAACGACAGAAACTAATAAGGAGACTACAGAAGAGACACAGATGCCTCTGAAATATACTAAGTGTTTCATTTTAGGAATGACACACCAATATATTTCATTGTGTCACACAAAATATAGTATAATGTAAAAAAAAAAAAATTAACAAATATACCTCAACACGCACAAACACACATTTAAGAATAGGAAGAAATGGAGAGTCTTTTTAAAGACAGTATAAACAGGCAGCAAACAAGCAGGCATGCAAGCTATGAGCAATGCACAGTCAAGCTGACTAAGACGAGTGCTAGCAGAAGAGGGACAGCTGTGTTATCAAGGGCTGCTCTGTGGGTAATTGGTGAATTGCTTGAATATAGCAGTACACCCATTTGTCAGAGTATTGTCATGTGTCTGTCTTCAGGTGTCTGTCCACAAACTGTCCTGGCTTCTGTTCAGTTTATCTGTTATGGGCAACGTAGGGGAAATTTCAGTTAGCCACAGCATATACACGAGGAAGCAGGTGTGGGTCTGTGGCTCTCATCCAAACGGAAACTTTGAAGATTCACTGTGAAAACCTGAATCTCACCATACACAGGGTTGTGAGGTATTTCAGTAACTGTATGTCAATAAGTATTATTTTGGGGAACTTGTACTACTGAATCTGAATAGCTGTACTCTTACTGAATTACATTTCCAAGGGCAAATCACACTTTTTTACTTTTAACTTTTTCTTTTTTTTTTTTACTTTTTAAATTTCCTTTTTTAAAAGCCTTCCAAAGTACAAAGTAAATGTTTTGCAGATCATAATAACCCAAATATTTCATTATTTTGTGCATCTTACAGAGCTACAGAGCCAATCAAATCACACTCACATAAATTTTACACCTAATAAAATGCATTTCATGCTAATTAGACTCCACTACAGTTTACTATTATTTGTCCTCATGAAGAGATGTTTCATCAGTCACCAACACAGTCTGTAACCTAAAATTTTTTTATAATTCTAGCTATTCCTAGGAATAAACAACTTCATTTGAGAGTGAACACATTAGTTTATATTAATAATGATCCAGTATCAAAGAATTATACATTCATCTGATTCTAGTAATGTACTGCTCTTTTTAAGTTCATATTAACTAATGCAGTTAAATAATGTTAACAAATGGAACCTTATTGTAAAGTGTTTCCAATTTTTTTTTTTTTTTTTTTTTTTTATTAAATGAAAATTTAAGCATTCTGAATAGTTGGATTTGTATCAAAGAAATAGCTTTTTCCCCCCTCCTTTTGTTCATTTCAGCAATCTATGAAAGCAGTCTCCACCACGGAGTAAAATTTCCTACAAAACTAACTTACTTTTTTTTAGTTAACTTACAATTCAGACTTTTTTTTCTCAGAATTGCAAATTTATAATAAACATTTCTGACTTTATAACAATTATCAGTGTAAATCTCACAATTTTGAGGTACCCCTTAAAAGAGATATAAACTCCAAGATATATATATAAAAAAGTGAACTTATGATGAAAAAAGTCAGAATCGTGAATTATAAGCTCACAATTCTGAAAAGAAAAGACTGAATTTTGAGATATAAACGTGCAATTCTGGGAATAAAAGTCTGAAGTGTAAAATGTAAACTAAAAATTGCAGATATAAACTTGTATTTGTGAAAAATAAAATCAGAATTGTGTGTTATAAACTCGCAATTCTGAGAAAAGTCTGAATTGCTAGACAAAACTTGCACTTCTGAGAAAACAGTCAGAATTGCAAGATATAATCTAGGAACTGTAAGAACTGAAGTCACAATTGTGAGATGAAAAGTGAGAATTTTTTTATTATTATTATTATCATAATTTTTTAATTTCATAGAGAAAACGGTCTTCAATAGCAATACATGTATGTTTAGTCAAGATACATTGACGTTTAACAGTATACTTCTGACCAGTGGTGTAATGTAATGAAGTAATAATAATTCGTTACAGTACTTAAGTATATTTTGGGAGTATCTGTACTTTACTTGAGTTTTTATATTTCAGCCAACTTTTAAAAAAAACACTGGGTGGATTTTTATCATTATAGGGTGGTTGTATACACACACTGCCAACACACATTTCAGTTCAAACAACTTGTAAAAGTGCATGTAGCATCCGATGACCCCTTTAAAATGTTTTGAGCAAAAATGTGTATGGAAAAATTTGTATGTATTTTGAGGTCCAAAAGTCTGAGACCACTAGTAAAAAAAAAAAAGATTTTCTGCATAACAATGTGGGTAAAAAGTTGAATGAAAAATGAATTAATTATTTATTTTGCTTTAATGACAGCAGCACTTGAGCTGCATGATCTTCACAAGATTGCATAAAACCTGAGAATTGTTTTCCAGCATGATGTGAGAATGATCCAAAGAGCACCTTGAGCTTCAATGGAAGCAAGAATATCTGACCGTCTCTCCAAAGATTCACATGGTCATGATGCCACTAATCTACTAAATATTTCTTATTCATATTGTGTCATAAAGTTTTTTTTTCGGGTTAATATTACAGCACACTTTGAATTCCAGATTTCCGATGATGTCTTAGACTTTTAGACCCCACTGTACACAATTCAAGGTGATTTTAGTGTTTAAACTTCCATGTCCAAATCTGAGAGTGGATCAGTGTTGAATAAATGTCTTGATGTGTGGCACAGACAACAACAAAACAGCCAAAGGACTTAAAAGTGATGTGGTGAGTGAAAACCCTTTAATTTAAGGGTTTACGTGTGGCCATTTGGCACTAAAATACTACCCAATATTTCATTCTAAACACCATTATATTTGACCACACAGGCGTTGTCGTAGTATAAAAAGCAAAGCCAACACGAAACCCTACTCGCATTTAACTTCTGATTTTGTGATGTATACATAAGAGAACAGAATACTCTCCATTCATTGGGAATGGATTGGATTGTAAAAATTGGGCTTTGCATACTGGACTGAAGCAAGATTTGAATATGAATTTACTAAAACAATACCTTTTTTTTTTTTTTATTATCCAAAATACTGAATGACCTAAGTGATGCCAGCAGAGATAAATATCACATACTTCAAGACTTTTACTCAAGTGATATTCTAAACTGTGACTTCAACTTCTACCAAAGTCATTTTCTGGTAGGATATCTGTACTTTTACTTGAGGATGGCTTTCAGGTACTTTATACACCACTGCTTCTGACAAAGTATCCATACTTGGGTATAATTTATCTGTACTTTTGACATCTGGCCATATGCGTTTTCTCAATGACCTAATGAGGATTTAAATAATCATGGATGTCTAACAAGACTACGGTAGGGCACAGAGGAGATGATTATGCTTAGGAAGGGAGACAGATTGAAGGGAAAACAGTATATTTGCTGAGGGAAGTGGGAAAATAAGAGCTACAGAAGCACTGACACCAAATATGACACCAGCTGCCAGAGTTGTACCTACTTTGTAGGGCTGCAGGTATGCAACGCCTTCAAATGAGGCTTCCAGGTAGCAATGGAAACCGAGTTCTCATCAGCCGCATAGCTACGCCACACACACTACGTGCAGAATATACAAAACCAGGAAAAAAGGGAGGGAAATGAGAAGAGTAGAAAGAGCTGCATGATCTTCACAAGATTGCATAAAACCTGAGAATTGTTTTCCAGCATGATGTGAGAACGATCCAAAGAGCACCTTGAGCTTCAATGGAAGCAAGAATATCTGACCGTCTCTCCAAAGATTCACATGGTCATGATGCCACTAATCTACTAAATATTTCTTATTCATATTGTGTCATAAAGTTTTTTTTTCGGGTTAATATTACAGCACACTTTGAATTCCAGATTTCCGATGATGTCTTAGACTTTTAGACCCCACTGTACACAATTCAAGGTGATTTTAGTGTTTAAACTTCCATGTCCAAATCTGAGAGTGGATCAGTGTTGAATAAATGTCTTGATGTGTGGCACAGACAACAACAAAACAGCCAAAGGACTTAAAAGTGATGTGGTGAGTGAAAACCCTTTAATTTAAGGGTTTACGTGTGGCCATTTGGCACTAAAATACTACCCAATATTTCATTCTAAACACCATTATATTTGACCACACAGGCGTTGTCGTAGTATAAAAAGCAAAGCCAACACGAAACCCTACTCGCATTTAACTTCTGATTTTGTGATGTATACATAAGAGAACAGAATACTCTCCATTCATTGGGAATGGATTGGATTGTAAAAATTGGGCTTTGCATACTGGACTGAAGCAAGATTTGAATATGAATTTACTAAAACAATACCTTTTTTTTTTTTTAATTATCCAAAATACTGAATGACCTAAGTGATGCCAGCAGAGATGGAAAGTGATTGCTAGGGGAAAATAAATCATTTTGATTTAAACTTACAAACAAAAGAAAAAAATTGTATAATGTGCACTAATGAATCATTCACAATTATGTGCATGCATTAAGAAAGTCAACAGGGTCATTTTCATTTCATGTTGTTGACTTATAATAATGTGATATTGGATTTCAATAAGAAAGAAAGAAAAGACATGTTGTGAGGACAAAAACAGAAGGATGAAAGACTAAAGATGGATCTCTCAAATTGCATGACACAGCAGTGAGGAGGGAGGGCATATTTTCCATCATTCTGTACAAAAATGTCAGTAAAGAGAAAAAAAAGCAATAGTAACATGCAGGAAAGAATCCTAACCCAGACATAGCTGAGAGTCATACTCCACAGATCAAGATTCAGATATATATTTCTGGGTTATATAAAGACCTCAAATGGTTTAAAAGAGGTGAGAGAGCACAAATGATGAGAGATAATGCAACAATGCAGTCCCTGCAACATTACATCATAAACAACACAGCATGGTTAAAATACATAATTGCTGACAACAGTAATTAAAGCTGAATGGTTGATGCCCACTGAAAGGCCTTTGGAAAAAGAAAGGAAAAGCAGGGTTAAAGCCAGGCAGGAAGAGAGACAAAATAAACATAAGGACCAGTGAATATATGAGATCTTCTATGTCTGCAATATCAGAAAACAACCTGGAGAAAGAAAAGGGGTTATGGTGGTTAAAATAGTTGGGAAATTGCTTGTGGGTTTTCAAGAGCAGCCAAAAGGAAGTAACTCATTTCTATAATATTACAGGACCTCAATGTTTTGTAGATGTGTTTTTGCGTGTGTGTGGACATTTTCCTGGAGTAAATCTGTTTCTCCTGCTAGAGGAGAAGGATGTACCGTCCATTAGGAAGAGCTATTGTCCTCAGGGAGGCCCTTGCTCAGAATTCCTTCCGTGGAAACAGATCAAAAATATCTGCAAGTGTTTCCTTTGGCTCAGACGGAAGATAATAGTCCTCAGGTAATCAATGTCCGTGGTATTGTTCGTTTTCTCCTTTCATTTAAAAATGAACATGGTTCACTCCAAAAACAATCTTTATTAATCAATGAATGTAATTCATTTATTAATCAATATGTTTGTATCTAAATAATATCTAATAATATACCATAACATATTTATTTAAAAGGCAATATACAATTATATTATTATCATTATATTAATTATTATTATTACTACTACTATTATTACTGAAATATGCTTAGATGTTTTTAGATGTATTTCTATTTTATAATTAACTGTTTAAGTTAAAAATGATTAATATTAATCTTTATCACAATTCTTAACATTATTATTCAATTTAAACTGTTATTTTAGTCTTATTGAGATACTATTATAGTTTTGTTCATATTTTGAATTAGATTTATTTCTATATTTTCTGCTTTCATATTAATTTTAACTTAAGTTTTTGTAATTTTGTTGCGTTTTTGCCATTTGTATTAGTATTTGATATATATACGTATATATATCAACAGCTCTGGTGGACATTCCTGCAGTCAGCATGCCAATTGCACCAGTCATGCTGTGTGTACCACAACAACTAAACCCTGTCAAGGCCTATGGTTGTAAATCACTTATTGATTATTGCATGAAATACAGTGTATTATTGAGCATCCTAAAGCCAGACAGTGGGTGATGGATTTTATACAGATTGTATACAGATGTGAAAAATGCAAAAAATAATGGGGGGTTTGTGTACATTTAAAGGGGACATCGGATGAATTTAAATTTTTTTTTTTTTTTTTGCTTTTAGTTAGGTTTCTGGTATGTCTGTACACAGTAAAAATAACTAACTAACTAAATAAATAAATTCTAAATTGTAAAGAAATTATTGGAGTACATTTTTTAAAGAACATACTGTACTATTTCACTACAGACATTTCATGAAGACCCTAAAGAATCATACCAACTTGTGGTAAATTGGCATCTCATGTCCCCTTTAAAGGAAAATCTGCACAAATACTGAAAGCGGTTGAGGAAGAGCGAAAGGATGATGTTTAAGGAAGGCAGTTAAGGTAGACTTACCGTACCCCACCAAAGAGCATCAGCGTAGGTGGCGAACTGTTTGTTAAATTCTTTCTCCACCAAGTAGACCAAGAATGAAGAAAAGATCAGCACCAAGAAGCCAATGTACCAGGCGGTCACAAGCTCCTGAAACAAACATTGCAATATTAAAACATCCAACAAATTAAAGTCATATCTACCAAGATATGAAATTTTAATGCAGAAAAAAACAGCTTGAACCAGCTAGAGGGTTTGCTGGTCTCAGCTCTTTTTAAATGGGTTTTGGGCACATGCCAACTGGTCAGACTGGGGGACCAGTTTGGTGACCAGCTAAATCAATTGAGCACCAGGCTGGGAGACCAGTTTAAACCAGATTAAAAATAGCCTGGTCAGCGAAAATCTGCAAAACTTGTTTCTATTTTTCTTTTTTCTTCTTCTTCTTCTATTTTCTATAAAGCTGCACCGGATCATTGTTTATTGTAAAAAGCACTTTGCATATAAACTTGTTTCGAATTACAATCTTAATAAAAATGTTTTAGAATTTAAAACTTTCAACTCTATTTTATTTTTATTTTTCTGCTTTTAAAGATGTTGTCAGCTGGTCAGGTTTGGGGATCAGCTGGTTAACAAGCTACTGTAAATCAGCTGAGCACCAGGCTGGGAGACCAGCTAAACCAGACTAAACTAGCAAAGGCCAACAAACCAAGCTGGTTTAAGCTGTTTTTTTTTTTCAGTTTGATCAGGGATGTCAGGAAAATGTAAACGCTTAAGCCTGAAAGGAGATAGAAATAAGTAACTCTGCTATTATATCGACCACAATGATTCATTGCGGGGACCCCTAATCTCTCCACTAAATGGTGGGTAACTGAGGACTGAGGAAGCGTGTGGTTTGGCTGTAGCCCGTGGATGGAGTTTCAGTCCAAGCGGTGCTGGAAAAAGAGGTTGATTGTGGGGTCACATGTCTACCTCGACATGAAAACTCACACGCAATTTCATGACCTGAGCTCATTTACTCATTTTTGCTGTTAAATAGTATTCAGTATACCTTGCTGTGAGCGTAGACTACAGATCCAAGCAGTTTCCAGGTACCGCCTCGCCTATCCATACGCACCATGCGCAGGATCTGCAAAAAACGCAGACTGCGAAGTGCAGACGTGGCAAAAATATTGCCCTGGCTACCAGCTGAAACCACTGCGATGGATGCAATGAGCACAATAATGTCTGAAACACAAACATTGGAGACAGGGATCATTTGTACATGTTAACGCCAACAGAGCAATAGAAATACTTTGATTGACTTATTAAAAATAATTATAGCAGTTAGTCATTTAGGAGATAGAATCAGTGACTCATAGTCCTCTTTATCTCACAATATCAATACTTTGGCATCACTCAGCCAACTCCAACAAGACCCCCCAGACATTTCAAGAGCACCAGAGCCCATCTACCTAAACTAAGCTTGCTGTTGTTTCACTTGTCTGTTATGTCTTTCTCCCTGAGATCAGAGACAGAGAGAGGGGCCAAGAGTGAGCAGAGAAGCCACAGCCTTACAGAACAGCATATCTAATCCTTCGCGGCACACAGAAAAACCTCTCCAGCTCCCAGCGTGCCTTAACCAGGGATAATATTGTTCTTTACTCAAATCACCTCTGTCATATTTTCCTGCTGAACGTTACACTTGAGGTTTGAAATAAGAATGTTCTTGTGTCACACATGCTGAAGGTGGCCTCCTAAAAGGCTGTTATTTGAAATTCGAATCTCACAACCTTTGAAGGTTGCCACAAGGTGAAAATGGAACATTGAAGAACGCGAGCAGATGGGAATGAGCACAGAAGAATTATGGTCCTTGTGAACAAAAGCCATGCTACAATATGGAAATCTAAAAATCATGAGAATCATGGAACAATGTGTATTGTAAAAAACTATTTTAAATAAACTAAATTTGAATTACAATCTTAATAAAAATGTTTTATAACCAAACTTTCAGCTCAAGGATTTAAGGATTTTATAAATGGTTTTCACATATGACAGGACAGCACCGACATGTCCTTGTTTAAAGCTACAGATCTCAGACTGCGCTCAGTGTAAAACATTTTTACACTGACCACAGTTCAAATATGTGGTCAGTAAGATATGTTAATATTGTTATTTAGCAAGGATGCAATAAATTGATAAAAAAATGACAGTAAGGACATTTAGAATGTTACATAAATGTTAAGTAATGTCACATTTTAATGTTTTAAAAGGACTGGAGTAATGGATGCTGAAAATTCAGCTTTGCCATCACAGGAAAACATTACATTAAATATATTAAAATAGAAAACATTTGTTTTCAATTGTAATCATATAGCACAGTATTGTTTTCATTGTACTTATAAATACATCCTTGGTGAGCATAAAAGCCTTCTTTCAAAACCATTTTTAAAAATCCCCAAACTTTTGAATAGTTTTGTTGCACACGCATTCATGCTTCACACTTTATTTTATTTATTTATTTATTTTAGTTTGATTTTCCAGATTTTTTCTCAATTAATTAATTGGTTAAACATTTTTAATCACTTAAACGATTTAATAGTTGCTATGTTGCCATGCAAAAGTGCTACATGAAGTTGAAGATAAATATATTTGTATTAGTTTACATGAAGATGAAATAATAGAGGACGTGGTCACATAAAGTCAGTGTGCGTCATTAAGGGTACGTGCACATAAATAATATGCAAAGACTTTTACACAGTTTCTAATGGGACGTGCTGAATAAATGTGTTGAGCAGGGAAGGGAAATTGTTTCCTTTTTCTTTCTGTTTCATAATTCAGAGTTAGTCTCAGCGCTGATGGGATGCTGATGGAACTCGGCCTCCTAATGAATGGAGATGAGGTTCAGTGCGTGGCACACAACTGACTGATATATTCACACTGGAACCTAAATTACACTCATACAACACAATACCACATATGCCACATGTAAATATAATAAATATAAATAGCTCTGGTTAGTTATTGCCTGTAATCCCTCATTGGTTAGTTATCGTCTGCTTTTCCTCTCAAGAGAGAATTACAAGAGAACTCTCTCAGCCACTATGTATGTTTGAGTCAGTCATCGATTTGGGGCAGAGGTGCTATCATTAGCCCATCGAGCATCTGTCAACATCCACACAAACACAGCAGATCCATCACCCTCTACAAACACACGTACACGGGTGGAGAGCACACTCACAGAACACACTTTTTTATCTTACCAATGACACAGAATGGTTTTCTAGCAAAGCGCAGTCGTCCTTGCCATCCCCTGTAGCGACAGCAGCATCCGGCCGACCAGATGCGAATGATGTACTCCAGACCAAATACAACAATCATCACAAACTCCTGCAAAAAAAAAACACAAACACCTTTCATGACATCAGATGCACCACTTCATTGATATAATTCACACAATTCAGCAAATAATTAAAGCTATCTCACGATAAATAAATACAAAAGATGCTTACTGTATATTATATTCTGTAAAGTTAGACATGGATACTTTGCACATAAATACTGTACACACACCCAGGTTCACCACAGGAGGCTGCGGTCATGTCTAGCTACTGTAAGATAATTAACCTCTCAGTTAATCCCTCATTGCCACATTCCTGGTGCCTGCTAATTGCACTGTTAGATAAACCCCAGTTGAGTTCACAGAGGGTTTCACCTGATTAAAACATCTGTCTGCATGGAGTTTAACACTGCTCCACTCCCAGAGAAACACCACACATTTACATTAAACTGCTCACTGATGCTAAGTGTGCTTACAATCAGGTCATCAGTCAAAACTTTCATGTTTTGGATCACCTGCCACTGATTCTTAAGTAGTGGGAAACAAAGCAAGCTAATAAACTGGTAAGAAAGCAAGCAAGTAAATAAATAAAAATTGTTTCAAAGATTTATTTGGATATGTTCTTAAAAATGAGTGAAATAATCTGAAATGAAATTTTTTTTACATTTCATTAAATTTAATTAAATAAAAATAAGCTTTGAAGAAGAAGTCTGGCTTTGATATTGCCTGGTTTTTAAATGTTTTTATAAATAAATATCTAATGGGGTTGACAGATATTAACCTTATAAAAGATTTATACTATATGTAATAATGTTTCTTTAATAGATACATTTCTATTTATTCTATTTTCTATTCATATTTACATTTTTATTTTCTTAATTTACATTTCTAATTTCTCAATTTGAATATATTCATAATATATATTTAATATATATTTTGATTTATATAAAATCTTGAATTTATTTTTAGGGTTAGTGGTTTATAACATAGTGTTATGTTATTTTTTATTAATTTAATTAATGAATTTATGTTAAGAAAATTCTCTGATGGATTTCAAAATGAAATTGTTGCTATTTTATAAACTAATGGCTGTTAATTTTCTAGGACGTTTCTCAAGAATCAGTTCTGTATATACTTTGCATCTCAAAGTTTTATAGATTCACCATTCCTGAATGTTGATCAAATTTATGTCTAAATATCAAGTCCTCTTTGCAGCTGTTGATGAACCACTCAACCTTTCTACGGGTCATATTTCACGTTTGACCTTCTCTAAGGGGTAAGAGGCCTGGGACAGGCTTTTTAACTGTCCTGTCCTGATCCACTGTGACAGCCGAGCTGGGCTTCCCACGGCTTGACACAACACTGTTTGCTTATCCTGAGCACTATCTGATACTGGAGGCTGTGCATGTCCTGCTTTCCCACCAGTGGGGTAGACGCCATCCTCTCCTGCTTTCAGGTCGCCTCACAGTCTGTGAACATCTCTCAATACAGCCTCTTTAACTGAAACAGGAACACCTTTGCCCGCTCCACCAAGAGTCCGGTGGGACTGAGATGCTCAATCACTTAAAGCACCATGCTGCTTTCTGTTGTCACCTGAGAGGATCCCATCAGCCAGTAAAACATCTCAGTGTAAGGATGAAACCAGTTCAGCATAATACAACATGTATCAAATGACCTAATCCAAGTGATTGCCTTTTAACATGAAGTACTGAACGAAGTTTTTGAAGGGATCTTGGAACACCAGATCAGAGATCAACACTGTCATTTGAGACCTTGTTTTGAGACTTGAAGTGAACAAGAAATCAAAATGTACCTCCACTGACCCTACGACCCTGGTCTTAAGGCCCATTCATACCAAGAATGATAACTATAACAATAACCTTTCAACACTATTGTTTGTAGTGTGGACTTACAGTTCAAAAGTTTGGGGTTTTAAATCAAAAATACAGTGAAAACAATAACACTGTGAAACTTTTTTACAATTTAAAACAACTGTTTTCTATTTGAATATTTTCTAAAAAGTTATTTATTCCTGGCAAATCTGAATTTTCAGTATCATTACTCCTGTCTTTAGTGCCACATGATCCTTCAGAAATAATATGCTGATTTGCTCAAGAAACATTTCAATCAATTTATTCATCTTCGCTGAATAAAAGTATTCATTTCTTTAAAAAAGAAAAACAAACAAACAAACAAAATCATTTGTTTTAAAATAACCCCACATTTTGAACAGTAGTCTGCTGATATCAATTAGGCAATGTAAGACCATCTTAACCAATATCCAGATAGCTATTTAGCAGCTGTTTAATCAAACCTTCCCCCATACAATCAATTCAAGTTTCACACTACATTTTTCTCATTTAATACCACATTTTACTATGAAATACTTAATTATTTATTGCGGAAATATTACGGAAATAAAATGGGTTGTAAACAGCAATTCATGCTGACTTCAAATCTGCTTTCGCTGGCTGGCGCTGAGCCAGAGACAGGCGCGTTTTACAGCGCTGCGCATTATAACCAATCACACATGAGTCTGTTGAGTTTATGAATGCAACGGCCAATCAGAGGCGTTCAGATGAGTCATCGATGAAACGCGGTGTTTTGTTCACTGCGCGCGTTTTGTTCTCTGCTATCGCTGACTGAATTCTGCTCTCTGGCGAATTAATTCTCTCATCAGAAACAACGAAGTGCAGATGTGCGAACAATGTAAGTAAGATATGCATTTCACAGTGTAAACAGCTTCAGTGATTATAATAGGAGTTTTTGAGAGTGTTTGAACTCTGGCTAGACTGAAGTTAATGATAATGTTCTTTGCTCTCTTTCTGTACAATGAAAGTGTTATAATTAGTAACTCTGATTCTTAAGTAGTGGGAAACAAAGCAAGCTAATAAACTGGTAAGAAAGCAAGCAAGTAAATAAATAAAAATTGTTTCAAAGATTTATTTGGATATGTTCTTAAAAATGAGTGAAATAATCTGAAATGAAATTTTTTTTACATTTCATTAAATTTAATTAAATAAAAATAAGCTTTGAAGAAGAAGTCTGGCTTTGATATTGCCTGGTTTTTAAATGTTTTTATAAATAAATATCTAATGGGGTTGACAGATATTAACCTTATAAAAGATTTATACTATATGTAATAATGTTTCTTTAATAGATACATTTCTATTTATTCTATTTTCTATTCATATTTACATTTTTATTTTCTTAATTTACATTTCTAATTTCTCAATTTGAATATATTCATAATATATATTTAATATATATTTTGATTTATATAAAATCTTGAATTTATTTTTAGGGTTAGTGGTTTATAACATAGTGTTATGTTATTTTTTATTAATTTAATTAATGAATTTATGTTAAGAAAATTCTCTGATGGATTTCAAAATGAAATTGTTGCTATTTTATAAACTAATGGCTGTTAATTTTCTAGGACGTTTCTCAAGAATCAGTTCTGTATATACTTTGCATCTCAAAGTTTTATAGATTCACCATTCCTGAATGTTGATCAAATTTATGTCTAAATATCAAGTCCTCTTTGCAGCTGTTGATGAACCACTCAACCTTTCTACGGGTCATATTTCACGTTTGACCTTCTCTAAGGGGTAAGAGGCCTGGGACAGGCTTTTTAACTGTCCTGTCCTGATCCACTGTGACAGCCGAGCTGGGCTTCCCACAGCTTGACACAACACTGTTTGCTTATCCTGAGCACTATCTGATACTGGAGGCTGTGCATGTCCTGCTTTCCCACCAGTGGGGTAGACGCCATCCTCTCCTGCTTTCAGGTCGCCTCACAGTCTGTGAACATCTCTCAATACAGCCTCTTTAACTGAAACAGGAACACCTTTGCCCGCTCCACCAAGAGTCCGGTGGGACTGAGATGCTCAATCACTTAAAGCACCATGCTGCTTTCTGTTGTCACCTGAGAGGATCCCATCAGCCAGTAAAACATCTCAGTGTAAGGATGAAACCAGTTCAGCATAATACAACATGTATCAAATGACCTAATCCAAGTGATTGCCTTTTAACATGAAGTACTGAACGAAGTTTTTGAAGGGATCTTGGAACACCAGATCAGAGATCAACACTGTCATTTGAGACCTTGTTTTGAGACTTGAAGTGAACAAGAAATCAAAATGTACCTCCACTGACCCTACGACCCTGGTCTTAAGGCCCATTCATACCAAGAATGATAACTATAACAATAACCTTTCAACACTATTGTTTGTAGTGTGGACTTACAGTTCAAAAGTTTGGGGTTTTAAATCAAAAATACAGTGAAAACAATAACACTGTGAAACTTTTTTACAATTTAAAACAACTGTTTTCTATTTGAATATTTTCTAAAAAGTTATTTATTCCTGGCAAATCTGAATTTTCAGTATCATTACTCCTGTCTTTAGTGCCACATGATCCTTCAGAAATAATATGCTGATTTGCTCAAGAAACATTTCAATCAATTTATTCATCTTCGCTGAATAAAAGTATTCATTTCTTTAAAAAAGAAAAACAAACAAACAAACAAAATCATTTGTTTTAAAATAACCCCACATTTTGAACAGTAGTCTGCTGATATCAATTAGGCAATGTAAGACCATCTTAACCAATATCCAGATAGCTATTTAGCAGCTGTTTAATCAAACCTTCCCCCATACAATCAATTCAAGTTTCACACTACATTTTTCTCATTTAATACCACATTTTACTATGAAATACTTAATTATTTATTGCGGAAATATTACGGAAATAAAATGGGTTGTAAACAGCAATTCATGCTGACTTCAAATCTGCTTTCGCTGGCTGGCGCTGAGCCAGAGACAGGCGCGTTTTACAGCGCTGCGCATTATAACCAATCACACATGAGTCTGTTGAGTTTATGAATGCAACGGCCAATCAGAGGCGTTCAGATGAGTCATCGATGAAACGCGGTGTTTTGTTCACTGCGCGCGTTTTGTTCTCTGCTATCGCTGACTGAATTCTGCTCTCTGGCGAATTAATTCTCTCATCAGAAACAACGAAGTGCAGATGTGCGAACAATGTAAGTAAGATATGCATTTCACAGTGTAAACAGCTTCAGTGATTATAATAGGAGTTTTTGAGAGTGTTTGTTTGCTGGCTAGACTGAAGTTAATGATAATGTTCTTTGCTCTCTTTCTGTACAATGAAAGTGTTATAATTAGTAACTTACAATGTTTTTTTTTATAAAATTCCCGTTAAATACAAAGTCAATTGTATTAAAAATATTAATACCTCGTGCCCTCTCAAAAATAATAAGTGCATGATGCTCCTGGTATTACATACAGTAGGCTTGTGTGTCTCACCAGTATGAGGAGACAGTGATTGGAGAGGTCCATATGAGCAGGGATGGTGGAGAACACAGAGAGAACCAGACAGCCAAACACCAAGGTGAACCTGCCAGTGAACAAATAAGAAAAAACATTAGTTATAGAGCTGAAATAACTGTATCCTGTTCTGTGACTGCATCTGAGCAACTGCAAGATGAAACTGAAGGTTTCTTTGTTCAGATGTGAAAGCACTTTAACAAATCTCAGGATGGACCCCATGAAAGAACACAGACTGAATCTGACAGCTTTCAGAGCAGCATTAGATCACAATCGAATCAGGTGGTGCTTTTCTACAGCTCTTTTAGCAACTGACCAGTAAACATAACAGCTCTTGAAGTACCTGAATGACACACTCACACAAGGAACTTCCCTAACAAATCATCACTTTCAGCCTTATTAATGCTGCAGAGTTTTGTTAATGATGGATGTGTGTATATGTAACACCCTCTAATTCTCTGCTATTGTCTGAGAGCTATTTACAGGAACATACAGTACATACTTTCTCCTGCTGTCTCTCTGGTGTAGTATGCCGTATCTGTCCTCTTTTGCTCTGGCCCTGTATAAACAGGCCATTAAGAACATTGGCCTTAGGTGGAGAACAGTGATGGACTCTTCGTTTTCAGAAGCAGCTGCAGCTGTGCGAGACGTGCAGCCGTATGCTGTCTGAGTGAACTAGCAGACATCACTGTGTCTTCCAGCAACTGCTGTCCTTATGTTTCCTGTAAATACATTGTGTCTGGGAGCCAGTTTTTTACATTCAGCACTGTCTTCTGTATTTTACCTTTTTGCCTCCACCTCCCTTTTAATTGAAAGGGTATACATTCTATCATTTTGTAGTATTGTTATTATTATTTCTTTCCCATCTCAGGTCCACTTATAATTGGTTTCCTGCACCAAAATTGTTCACATTACCGTTTCCCACCCTCTCGCTCTGACCCTTATACCTGTTTTGCCAGTGAAAGCAGCTTTTTGGTAGCACATATCCATTTGTACCCATATTAACAGTTAATTTTAATATTTCACAATATTACTGTTTTTACTGTATTTTTGATCAAATAAATTCAGCCTTGGTGAGCATAAGAAACTACTTTCAAAAACATTAAACAAAAACGACCCACATTTATTTTTGAAGGGCATTGTAGATTTAAACCTTTTTATTTGAATTCAAATGAATGTAAATTAGATTTGATAGCTCAGTTATAATTGGCAATCGTCTGTTTACCCCAACATAATTTACACTATTGTTCATCAGTTTCTGAATACGACGATTGATTCCTGAATGATTCCTGAATGACTTATGTAGCTGTACACTTTCATTTCTAAACAGAACAGCAAGACAAATCTTGTTGCATGATATGTCCCTTTTAAGGCATGAGAAGACTCAAAAGTCTCTCTATTTCCCTACATTTTTGAAAGATCATTCTGTAATTATTAATGCAATAGCACAACTGCTGAAAGGCCTAACTGAGCATCATACTCTCTCAAAATGAGAGATGAAGTGTAAAGAGTTTGAGAGGTGTTTATTTACTAACTGTGTATCTGTCTGTGATCAATGACAAACAAGTTGTGGCATTTGTATGTAACTGTGTTAACAGCTGTTATCACAGTCGTGCTGACAGTCCTCACCTGTTCCTCTGTCGTTCTTTCTCTTTTTGTCAGTGAGACACAGTCTGTCTGACCTGCTCCTCACCCTTTTAGTGCTTGGCTAACACATGCACACCCACACAATCCAGACTCTTTCAGTTAATGTGAGGGCTTCTGTGAATCTCATAACACTCCATAGTATTACAATCCCCAAAGACTGGATCGTGACAGAGTTTATGAGTCATAGCAGGATATAGCGCTTTCCATATCCTGGTGGTAACAGCAGACCACAACCATAACACTCAAACTGGTGTCGTGCTATTCAACTAGAACATGTTTATTGCATTTACACATGCATACGGACAAATGCACATACACAATAAGCCTAAGAAACGGGCTTCTGTTACAGTCATTACTGTAACCCAATAGACAAGCAAAACAGTAGCAGCAATGCAAAAAACTCAGTCCGCTCCAAAAGTCTGAGACCAATAGTGAAAAATCATCTATTTTGCACTCTTTTAAAATTTAATATTTGTTTTCATTACTAATTATATTGTCAGAAGTTGAACTGAAACTGAACTGAAAAATGTACATGAATTTTATAATTATATTTCTTATTTAGTTTGACCCCTTTTGCTTTAATAACAGCAACACTCAAGCATCACCTCCACAACTTAGTAAAATCAGTTTGAGTGCATTGTGCTTCAATTGAACCAAGATTTGCAATCCGCTTACATAAAAATATGTCAAAGCAGTCAAAATATAAATGAAAGCAATCCCAGACTTTTGCACTATACGTGCACCCAGACACATCTTTCAGAGCTATTTGAGGGATCTCTTGCACTCAGTTGTGGGGGGAAATGAAAATATTGGACCAGGAAGGAATGACTTTTTTGAACAAACAGCTGCAGGTACCAGTGCTCTGCTAAACACTCAGGCCAGACAATGTGTCTTTTAGCAATCAGAGCCATGTGGTCACAGCGCCAGGCTCCCACAGACTCAGACATATGAGCTTTCAAAGCTCTGAACCCCACGGACCTCTTTCCACCAGTAAGACAAAACATAGCACCACCTACCAATTCAGCGGTCTGTGCATTTAAAAGTGCATGAGAGTTTCTGTATGCAAATGTCAGAGTGTCAGCCTGCAGTTTTGCAATGCAACAGAGAAAGAAAAAAAGGGAGAGAAAGGTTACAGTAGCATACAGTGGATTACACAACTGTTTCTGTTTGCCTGTGTGTGAGAAACTGTCTGAGATTGTTTTGATTTGTTTGCTGTTTTGATTCTGAGGGGTTTGAGAATCATTCATACAGGCAATGATGACATGCTTGGATTTGGAATTTCAAATATTTCCCCATGAGCCAGGCCACCTGCAGTGTGTAGCATCTGATCAAACATGACACGGTAGAGGGCGGCATTGCTGTCTACCACATCAAACACACACACAATCAACCTATGTGAAGAACAGCATTTAATAAGACTGTTGATGAAAGCAACCAAGAAGAATGAAAAGACAGACAAGGAGAGAAGAGAGTAGGAGACAAGGCAAAAAAAGAGATGAGAATAGAAAAGAAAAAAAGAGAAGTGAGATGTGATTAGGTGAGAAGATTGGATGAGATGAGCAGAAACTAGAATTTGCAAGAAGAAATGAGATGAGAGATGAGATGAGAGGAGAATCGAAGAGAATATGTGAGAATATGAAACAAGAAAAGATACAAGATCCAAGAAGAGAAAATGAAAGTAAAGATACAAGCAGAGATGGACGATGCAGGTAGAGAAGGGAAGATGAAAAAAAAATTCAAAAAAAGAGATGTGAGAAGAGGCATAAGAAAAGAAAATGCAAGAAGATTCAGGTAAAGATGCAAGAAGATGCTAAATGCAAGTAGAGTAGATTCACAAAGATGTGAGGAGGCACGCGAGAAGAAAAGATACAAGAAGAGAAGAGAAGAGAAGAGAAGAGAAGAGAAGAGGAGAAGAGATTGCATTGGGATGTTTCTGTGTTTCAGACAGTTGGCTGGTTTAGAGGTCAGTCTTTGCGTTCCTGACAAGATGAATATGATCATTCATTTTCCATTGAATTAATATAAAATATAGCATGAGTAATCCAGCATCCACAACACAATACAGCCTGAGTTATAACGGCTGCTCTGTGAATTATTGAATGGCTTGTACAAATAGCCTGTGGACATCTGGCTCTGATTTGGCTTGAGCCTCTAATGGTTCTCCTCCGTCTGAACAGGAAGGTCTGGACACTGGCTGCTGTTTCCACTGCAGCTGGAACAGAGTGCAAAACTCAACTCAGACCTCTGACCAGAGCTTCACACGGGCCAAGGGTTAATGACAGCAATAACACACAATCAGGAGGTGGCACTGAATGTCCCTGCACAGCCCTGACATAATGAAAGCCACTGGCTATTGACTGATGTCTTCTTACGAGGATGGCTCCACAGTCAAATGGGTTTTTCACAGGTTACACATGGGTCTGAATGTTACCATTCGCAAACCAGACAGATATCATAGTTTAATGATAGATTCAGATTCAGTCAGTTATTTTAGTTATTCTTGGAGTAACAAAACATTAAAGAAACAGCTGAAATCATTACAGTAACAGAACAGAGCAAATTCTCTCTCACAAGGAGTTTGACTGACAAAACTAGAGCAGTAGGACCATACTAGCATCCTTGATGTTTTCAGCGATTGACGGTGAATTACTTCTTAGTCACAAATCCAGAGTTCGAGTGTGTAAGAGAGGTAAGAGAGGACGATGGATCAGCAGCAGACGGAGTGAAGGGAAAATGCTTGTATTACTTGCACTCCAGATGCTGAATTTGTTTTTGTGTGAGAGTATGCGGTTGTATTTATTTGATAACAGGACACTGACTGTATAATCAGCCATTATAAGTGTGCATGTTTGTGTTACACTGTGCTAAATTAAAGATGTTTTTTCAGTTTGCTGCATTCCTGGACATTCCTCTGGCTGGCTGAACACAGGCCTGTCATAAATAATTAGGGCTGTCATCTAACACTGCATGTTGCTGTTCCAGATCCAGTGAAGTCAGTCATGAGAACGAAACCTTGCCATAAAGTCCAGCTGAGGCAGCTAGTCAAAACTGACCATTACTGCATCATGTGCAAGCACACGATTCACTTAAAAACTCAGATACGTCTTGACACAGCTTGATTTTGTTATCTCAACCCGGTTTCCTCTGAAAACTCTCTGAAAACTAGCACATAAGAAGACGAAGAAGTTTTATTTATATAGTGCCTTTCCATAGCTCAAGGTCACTTTACATAGTGCTAAACAAAACATTTGTACACCCATATACACAATACAAACACATAAGGCCACATATAGCCACATTATCCAAATGCACTAGCATACAAGCCACAAGCAATTCAGAGAGCAATTATATATTTGTTTCCTGACGGAAACACAACTGCAACTGCAACTGCAACACTGTGCTTGCAAATGCAATATGTCGTGT